TTCCAGTATTTTGAGGAATATATACAGGGATCCATGGTAACTCATCGTGAAGCTGATGAACTACTTACTCTTTTAGTAATCATATTCTTTTTAAAATACATTAGCGTAGAAGAGTTAAGTGTTAAAGCTTACTGATGCTTACATGTTAGTATTCAGATAAGGTGGACGCCCTCTTGCAGGGATACCTTCCCAAAGTGAACATTACATGATTGAAATGGTGCTTAGTCTTTCTTCTCTAAATATGAATTGACTTCTGATCCTTACATCTCTGAGTGTAAAGAAACTTCCATGCTGTATTTTCAGTTCTTGGCCGGAATTTTTGGAGTTTCACAGTCAAGTGCTTGTCATTATGACCATTCCCACTGTGCTTACACATTTGTTCAAGAACTAAAACTGAAAATTTTAGGCCCAGCAGAATCAGTGGTGTTTGGATGTGTTTGTGTTCCTCACTCCTGATAGCTTTTGTCTCCCTGATATGAAGGGCATAAATCTGTGCCATCATTCAGGTAATTCAGAGCTTGTTCTTTGTGGATGACTCTGCTGAGGTCACAGCATACACTTAGATATATTTGTTAATTAATTTTGGTTTTCTCTTTTGTATAAAATTTCTGGCCTGGTAACCTTACTTATTGCATATTCTTGCTGTATTTTCTAAATGTGTCAAGTTTAAGGTGTGCCATGGGATTGTGTCTTACTGGGCATCCCAACGCTGCCACAGTATAAGTGTGTATCCTGCTGCTTTTCTTGAAGCATTTACAGGTGGTTTAATCCCACACTCTGTAGTGGATTATTATGAACCCATTTTATTATGGGTTTTATTTTTTAAATATGAACCCATTTTAAATGTTTTATTATGAACCCATTTTAAATGTTTTTCTCTCACCGCTGTCAAATCATCTTGAGCTTCGTTCCTTTCGTACAGCCAGTGGAGTGAAGCCGCTGCAGTCGAGCCCTGTGGGCACTAGACTCTTTCTGTGTTAAAATAATTGCTGGAAAGGTCAACCTGTAACATGTCACAGTTACTAGGGGCAGTAATGAAAGTGAAAAGCCTCAGCGTGTAGCAGCAGCAGCAGCAGGAATAGTGTCATGCAGCTGGCAGCTCTCAGGATACTCTCCACAGAGCCCAGTTCACCAGCCACAGACCTGCTTAATTTTTTGAACTTTCATTTTCCCAAAGATCAGACCTTTCAGAGAAAAGGACTGCAGATAAGCTAGGCTGTGTAAGGGGAGCAGAGTTAGGTCATGCTGCTCTGTATGGGGCCCTTCTTAAAGAGCAGCTGTTGTTAGATCTCCAGCTGAAAATCCACAAATCTGAGAAATAAAAGATTTCCACATAGAGAAAGTCTTCTGTTTTCTTGGCCTTTCTGGGCTTTTTCATTAGCATTAAGAAAAGTATAACCAGTTGCCTCGTCTTTGTTTACTGCCTTCATGATTTACACTCCAGTTTCGTATTAGTACAGAAGCTAGTAATTATTTCTGTAATAAGACCACTCAAACCAAAACAAGTATTTTATGTTACAGTGGAGTTAATGTAGCCTAGAATAAAAAATGAATTAAAGAAAGATTTATATAAATTCAAATGCCAGAAAAGTGTTGGCTTTTCCTTTTCTCGTCTCTCTTTCTCCCAAACTGTGGAGTTTTTTTCCGACAATTTATAATTTAAACCTTTGGATAGTTTTTCAGTGTTTACGTAGCAGGTATATGTATTTTCTTTTTCTCTTGACAAGTGTGTTTCCTATTCCAATTTGCAGCTGAATCCTGAAAACAAGTCATCCTTTCTATTGCTAAGCTCTTCAGCTCTTTTTTCTTTTGGGTATAATTTGCCTAAAGAGCATTCCCTTGTCTGTTCAGGGTTGCTTTCCACGTGTACATTCCTGTGCATAGACATAGGCTGTGGGGTGCACTACTGGGAGCTTCCTTGCCCTTAAGTACCAGCCCACATAGTTCTGAGTTGCATATTATGTCAATACAGGAAGTTATTCTAAAATAGTTGTGTTTTAAATTCAGACCCAAACTTGTTTGCCACTGCCTTTTTCACTTCCTTTGCAGGCTGGTGTTGATTTAGCGCTATTATACTGCTAAGGAAATGTTAAGGAAACTCGGTGTAATGTTACCTTCTGTTTGTTTCCTTGCCTTCTATATTTAGGCTTACAATAGGGGAGGCCGGTAGGAATCTCTGTAAGTTGACTAACACAATATAGTTTCCAAAAACAAGACTTTTTTTTTGGTGACAGCTTTTGTTTTTAGTGTGAAGAGGCTCAAGAGAGAGCTGTGTGACTTGAAAAAGAAGGAATTCCATGTCTTAGGACTTGGGTTTCCTGCAGTATAAGCTTGGAAAACTCCTTTTTACGTGTCTGGTTTGTAAAGCTGGAGAAAGAGCAGAAGAAATGCTGCCTTTCTGCCTGGGAGATGGGTCTGTCTGCCCCACTGCTGCAGCAGCCGCAGCGCTGGTACCTGCCCCCATCCGTGCTGGAGTGAAAGCTGTAGTTGGAGAAGGGAAGAAATGGGGAGAGGAGCAGCCTGAACCTCATCCCGTTTAATTTGGGAACATCACATGGGCCAAATGTTCTTTCAGGTATCAAGGGCAGAGACAGAGATTAGGGCAAATTCAGTAGCCAGTAGAAGAGGTTGTTTCCCAGCTTACTGTAAGACAGCACCTATCAGCCAATGTATTTAGTGCTATTTGAGAAATATCAGTCCTGTTGGAGCACGAAAGGTTTGTATTTTAAGTCAGCAGGATAGTAGGTACAGTGGGGGTAATTGCTTCTGCCTATAGTGTAACTTGCATTTCTATAAAAAGCTTGGGGATTATATTTTTAACTGCATCTGAAAAACACTTCTTAAAACTTGAACTAACAAAAGCTCGGCCATTATGTCAAAAAGGAAACTACAAATTTATAGTTATCTTTCCATCATAAATCTTGCTTACAAACATGTGTGTTTTAGAACTGCTAAGTGAACACATTTTTATTCACAAGCCTCCTGTGCTTAATTTAGTGCACAGGGTGATGCACGACAGGCCTTGAAAGTCTCATTCCTAATCAATGTCCTATTCTGCAACTTAATGAACTTTTACATGAGATTTGAGTATGTTGAGGTGGACTTTTTTTCCTCCCCTTACATAGTAAGATGAAGACATTTTAGCTGACTGGTCAACATATCAACACCTGTGAGTGGGCTGCGCATCTGAATAGATAACAAAAAAGAGGTAGTTGAGGTAGTCCTGTTTCACTTTTTTTCTTCTTTTTTTTTCCCCCCAGGATTGTCAGGGAGCCAATAGATAAAAGCAGTTGACATGGAATAGATCGAAGTACCCAAAGTCACATATACTCAGCAACCTGTTCACATATTTTTTTTTTTCTTTCTTGATTTAAAAAAAGGTTTCTGGATGGAAGCCTCTCTATTATTTCTATTAATTTCATGAGTTTATGTCTGATAATAGAAATAATACACAGCATGCACACATGTACAAATTTTTGTTTTTAAAATACCCAAGGAACAAAGCTTACATTAAAATCACTAACATATATTTTTTTCTTATTTTTTAAATGTTTGGATTTTAAAAGTCACCTGGATGGTTCTGTGCTTTCTTCCAAAAACATATTTGAATTCTGTGTGTGCGGACACGGCAAGGTGCTCAACATTTGTCACGTCTGGTTTGTTCCCAGTTTGGATCATTGCAAAGTTTAGAATATCTCTTGAAAGAGAAATGTTTATCAGGAAGAAGCTCATGTTTGAAAACAGAGGCGCGTATGGAGGGCGGCCGCGCGCTTAAGCTGGTACTGAAGTGATCATGTTGCCAAACGATACGTTCAGCAAAAAGAACTTGCACACAAATACATGCTAAACCCTGGAAAAATATCTAAATTAGTGCTCAGAAGTACAGTTTTGGAGCATTGCTCACTCTCTCTCTCATCACTAGCATTAAGCACTCTGCGTTTTACTGAATACAAATCTGAGAGCTGTTCATTAGTTGAATAAGAAAATTTAATTTGACACTTTTTGTCACTGTAGCCCCTAAGAAAAACAGGAGGAGGGCACACAAAGGGTTGAAATTGCGTTTATTTCATTTGCGCTACGTTTTAATATGTTAACTTGAAGTCAGCACTGCTTGGGATGAATCACGAGGAATGCCGCAATAATTCTTCAGATGTTTTGTAATGAATGTGGTGTTGGACTTCCTTTCTAGTTGCTCCTGAGCTCTGTAATTCTTTCCTTGTGCAATAAGGACATTGTTTTTTAAAGAGATTTTAAAATTTTGTCTAAAACTAATGATAATGATAATTAGGTAAATATGGAATTAAGTGAAGAGCACAAAACCACCAGAATATCCACTGTCTTTAAAAAGAAAGAAATGAAGTTTTTGCAGAATAGACTCTCCAGGAGTTGAGTGGCAATGAGTTTTTTTTCCCTCACCAGAACTTTTTCAGAGTCAGTGGAGAATTTGTTGGGGCTCTTTGCTTTGGAGGTAAATGCCCTGAGCGCTAGGCCCTAGATCATTTTCTGACTGTGAGTATCAGCATCCCTGCCTCATCATCATCCTCATTCCAGTATTAAAAAAGAGGGCTTTCCGAAGAGATCTCATCCTTTTGATAGATACACAGTGTGCTTTAGGAAGACTGACTTCTTCAAGAGGCTGAGACAGACTTCCAGCATTGGGTTATGAATCACAACTGAGGTTGTGAACCAACAAATATGGACCGAGCAGAAGAAATTGGGAATTGCTGACTTGAATACAACTGCATTCTTGTCTGGATTCCAATGCATACTTAAAAAATCAGGCCACGTAGTTACTAAACTCATACTACCTTTTGTAACAGATGTACTACATTTTTCATAAGCATCCTAATCCTTAGGATAGCATTGCTCGGTATTTTTAGCTACTCTTGGAAATTTGTTGTTGACTTCAGTGGCATTTGCATTTTTCAACCTATTGTGAGTTTATAAGCATTTTAGGCAGGTACATTGCTGACCTATTCATCATTTTTTCCCTCTGTCAGGAAGAAGAAACTATAAAAGAAATTGCAATAACTCATCACGTAAAGGAAGGACATGAGAAAGCAGATCCTTCACAGTTTGAACTTCTGAAAGTGCTGGGACAAGGATCCTTTGGGAAGGTTGGTGACTGAGTTCCTTGCAAGGAAAGCATTCCAGATTCTAGGATAGAATAGTATTAAGAGTGAATTATTTAAAACAGCTACAGTCTTGCATTCCAGCAATGCTGGGCGTCAAAACTACTTTCTAAATTAGCACCAATTAGCCTCTGTAATTGTAGCAGAAATTTTTAGAGTGGTACAACTGTTCCAGTTGTCCTGTGTGTAGTTTTTAAAGATCTGTAAAAAAAAATTGGTATCAAGTAAAAGGTCTTCACCATTAAAGAAAGATGTGTTGATTTTTTTATATACCTCTAAATCTCTGTGTTTAAGATGAGCTTGAGACATATTAAAATGTAATAAATATGGTAATAATTGAGATATACTTAAAAACATAATGCAGTTGTAAATGATGGGTTATCGCCCATGTAGAAACTGCAGGAAGAATGTATTTTTGTAATGAATTATAATTGTAAAGAATGGATTTTAGCCAATTAGTCATTTCATTAAACATGGTGTTTAAACATGATGTAATCCAGTGCTGTTATGTTAGGCATTATCTGTCATAATTTGGGTAAGACACAAACTGTCTTGATTTTAGTGGGTGTTGACTGCAGTGACTTCTCTCTACTTATGTATCATATTCTCTAGTTGTATATCATCAACTTTTGGCTGTTCAAATACAACTTAAAGCATTAATTTCAGGTGGCAGAGAGATTATTGAGGAACAATGCAATATGACATGTAAGCAAATGCAGACTCCCAGTCCATTTTCAGCTTTACATTAAAGACTTAAATGCAAAATGTTGCACTTCTGTATTGCATTAAAAAAATACAGATAAAACTCATATACTAGAACGTTTGTTCAGTGTTCTCATTTACCATGTCTCTTTCATTTTTCCCAAAATAATCAGAAAACGTATGAGGTCTGTATTTTACTTTCCTTATTACTAAATCTAAAATTTTACTCTACTGAAATTCATTTTAGATTAAGGACAATCTCACTCAAGAAATCCTATCACACTAGAAAAGGAAATGAAACTCATTTTACCAGAGTCTGGTTTTACTTTATTGGTACATATAAAACTCAACTATAGCATATCAGAAATACATGTTTTAGTATTTTAAGATGTTGGTTCTTATAATTTTATAGTTTTTTTGTTTTATTTTTTAATCAGGTTTTTGCATCTAGAACTGCTTGTTTGAACTTACATTGATTTGTCTTTTTTTGAAATGGCTTTTACATATACATGTTTTCATATCTGACAATTATTTTTATTAGCACTTTGGCTGTGTCTTAACAGTTTTAGTAGGATATAGCTATAGAGGTTTATATTTGAGAGATTTGTAAAATATTCTATATTTTACTGTTTAAAGGATTTTTTTGTCTTAAGGCAGGTAGATTTGTCTTAAATTTGAGAGAATTGAAATTCATCCTTTTATTCACCGAAATCAATTAAGTTAAATCAGAATTTAACTGATTTTAATGACTTCCTTTTACAATTTTTTTTCCAATGCAGGTATTTCTTGTCAAAAAAATCTCAGGATCAGATGCTAGACAGCTTTATGCAATGAAGGTATTGAAAAAGGCCACCTTGAAAGGTAAGCACTATTCACAGCAAGATAGTGGAAATTACATCGAAACTTAACTTTTACACACAGGCTTTTCAAAAGATTGTATCATAGAGCTTACTGTTAACAAACAGCAAATAACAGAGCTTACTGCTTTACTTTGTAAACCCGAAGGTATTTAGTGCTCAGAAATATTACATTCATAGGGTGATACGGGAAAATGGGATCTTTCCTGTTTAAAATCTGATGGGTCCTTTTCATTGTTGGTAGCAGAACGATTTTACTGGGGTAGCTGTGTTATGTCTGCCAGCTGACTTGGTCCTGTGTTGAAACTTAATATCTTTCCTTTTTTTTATTTGCTGTATATCACTAAGGATACAGTTCCTGACTCCTGCTCAGTTTAAACTTAGGTCATGATATTTACAAGGACATTATATATCAGCTGTTTTTTTTTTTATAAAAGCTCTTTACACAGGAATTTTAGCTCTTTCATATCAGCAGTATACTACACATTTTCTGAAAATTCTGACACTTGCTCTGAATGTAAAATATATTTCATGAAAGTTTAAGGCAATCTTCTTATTCACTTAAGTAAAAATTGGTTTTACAATGAGTCCTTAAAATGTTATTATTCAAAAGTTTTTGAGTGTGACAGTAACAAAAGTTTCTTTCACATCTGAAAAATCTCAGCTCTTGTCCTGTAGTTCTAGAATAAGAAAAATGAAAAAAATATATATTTTCCATTAGAATTTAAAAGGAAAAGGACTTTTTACACTGTAGTCCTCTAACTGCAACATAGAAAACAAAGGCATAAAATACATATATGCTTTTTTATTTAAGATTATTTGTAATTCTTTAAAACTAATTCGTGGCTGCATGTGGAATTGCAATGATAGTTTTCCTGATTAAGAACTAGTGTTGAGTATCTGTTTTGCAGATCTCATTATGCTTCGCATTTATTTGAAACTACTAGAGAAAGTTTTGAGTATTCTTGAAGAGTTTTATCCATCTTAGTGTTTTGTGGTAGGGATTATTCACATTATTTGCTTCCTGGCTTTTTGAAATTTCATTTCATCTCCAAGGCTCTTAGTAGGTGGAGTCAAAAGTCACTCAGCAGTTGCTCTGTGAGGTGTTTGAGGGCTTCTCTCCATCACCTTTTGATGGTCTTGTAGCCTTATCCATAGAAATTCTAGTGCTGCAGATCAGTTAACGGATGCAGACACTGATAAATTCCCCCGAAACTGTAAGCATGACGTTTGGTTAGAAAAGCAGATGCTTCAAGTTATTAAGAATTCAAGAACACAAAGGGCGTGAGCAGAAAGGTGTCACCAAGAGGAGCATGCCACCTTTCCCAGCACCTTGTGTCTGAATGTTCTGATGCTTCTGCACACGGTTGTTTCAGATCATGCTTTAAGAGAGGAAGTTACTGACAAATAAAGGTTTCTTTTGGAGTCTTAAAATAAAATTAATTAAAATTCAGTATTTTTCCCAATAGGAAAAACTGGGTATATATTTTTTAAAGATCTGATGTAGTAATTTTAAATAATATACTGCGTTGCGTGTTTTTTCTAAGGATCTTTAGCCCTTTTAAATCTATTCCAGAAATTATTTTTGTGATGTAACAAGTTAAAAATACCCTATAGGATTGCTTGTTAATTGAAGGTAGTGTGTATGATTCTCAAAGTAAATTTAGAGAGAAATTCTCCTAAGAGCCAGAACACACAGACACAGCCAAACAGTTCAGCCTTTTAATATTTAGAGCACATTGAAGAGTACACACAACAATTTTGGTAAGGGCAGAGACCAGTTTATTAATATACTGGGAAAGGAGGTGTCATCTTTCAAAGCCCCTGTACAAGAGATGGAAAGAAACAGAGCTAAACCATTGCTAGAGAGTCAGGCATCAAGCATGTTAAGAAGGAAATTAAAAGTGAGCAGGCTGAGTTCATTAGACAAAGCAATGGTTTCCCCCCCATTAAGACATCACTTAGTGTGAACTTAGCAGTCTCCTGGTGTTGCAGGGTACAACAATTTGTAATTGGCCAAAATATATAAAAAAGAGTTTTCAGTGCTAAAGCAATCTGTCGTGTCCACATGTGGACGCAGCAATCTAGAGAAGTTTTTAGTCAGCAATGGCTAATACTGTCTGAAATGTGCTCATTTCCTTCTGTGTCTTTGGTTGAGGTTCTGTGATTTTGGAGATTTTCTGGCTTTTCAATACAAGATTTTGTTATCTGTGTGACTGTTTCATTAGCTGTATGCACTTATTAACCTTTTTCTTTTCTTCCATGAATGAATCTGCCCCTAAAAGGAATGTTCCAAAATTAAATATCGTCGTTCAAGTGAACCTTTGGAATAGGGAGATTGCCTGTATGCCTTGTGCCAGTTTTATGACTTCAGATGTTAATGTCAAAATTCAAATGTGATATTTGCTTTGTGTTTAATGAGGCACTTTATTTTACATGCCTTCATTTTTAAAGATCTTATATTCAGCACAGACGTGGAACGTTGATAGTTTCATTCAGTCATAAGAATTTATCTATGTTACTAAATAAAGAAAAGTTACACTTTTAAAAGACCCTTTTATTTCTCCACTCTCCTTTTTTTTTTTTCTCCTTTGTTACATGATAAACTCGAACTCTAGCTTATTTACTGTCCAAAGTGTGGTAGCAGCTTAAACTTTGAACTGGACTTCGCGCATTGCACTTGGGTGCTCTTGTAAGCAAAATAGTTTTGATTCAGTTAGCAAAAACTTCTCCTCTCCGATTCAGATATTAAGAAACAAAGCAGATGGACAATTACATGAATGTATAGGGAGATGCCTTTTCCTTGTCCCCCTGACTTTCATAAGGGGTTGCACTCTGCTCATCCCCAATCTGCTCAGGCACAAGTGCCCAGCAGGTAGAAAATTGTCCTGGGAAGTAAATTTTTTCATGTTTCACATCTCTTCTGTGTGAAGTATGGTGACTCAGTTGTAATCGCTAGTATTGGGAAACATAGGAGAAGTACTGATTCATAGTGTGATTCAGTTTTTGTTTTGTGTTTCTATTGTAGTTCGAGATCGAGTTCGAACAAAAATGGAGCGTGATATCCTAGTAGAAGTTAATCATCCTTTTATTGTCAAGCTACATTATGGTGAGTTGCAAAACTATGTCATTCTTTATCTGAGTAAAGTGTCCTTGTCAAGATAGTGCCTGGCACTTCCCTAGTGGTTCAGGGAATCATAGATATTAGTGTCCAATCTAAATACTGATCATACAAAGGCCTATTATGAGTAATTCTCTTGCAACATATGCACGTGGCTAACCTAATGCTCAGTAGTATGTCTCTGTAGGATTGATGTAGCCTTTTGCTCTATTAAAAGGACAGTTATCTATTTATATTTAGTCATTTTGTTCTAAAATGTCCTATTTTCTACATATATATATTTCACTTTTAAAATGATTTCTTATCCTTAAATCACTCTATAGACAACAACCTATACAGTGGCATTGCTTTCAGTTACATCAAAACTGGATGTATGCCTTTTAATTTCAATGACATTAGCTAGCAACCATAAAAATTTTATCGTTATGGCAGAAATTAAATTATTTTTTACATGTCATGCAGAAAAGAAACTGAAAAAAAAGACCTTTATTTTGCCCTATCAACATAAAGTTTGTGTGAATAGCATGACAACATGTTCAAAACAAGAATTCAAAAAGTCAATTTGTTTTCCTTTAAGATATGTTTTTTCCTACTGTTCTGACTTGAGATTTCTGTTCTTCTGAGGTGGTTTATATAAGGAAGCTTGCACTATTTAATTTTCTCTCTGTCACATACTATAATAGATACAATCTGAGTTTTCACAAGTGTTAAAATAAATTAGTTATTTGCCCTTTAAGTCTAGACTTTTTACTACCAAAATATGGGATGAAATACTGATTAATTGTTCTTTTTTTATGAATTTTGTTGATGATTTACTTTACTGTCACATAGTACAAAACTTATGTGCTTCATGATGGAAAACATTTACTTAATTTTTAATTGAACTATTCTAGAAAGGAAAAATAAAAATAATTTTATTAATGATATGAAAGCAAGGGTAAATTTTTTTGATGTATTATTCTTTATAAGTAAAATCAGATGGTGTTAATTTTTTTTAATGCTCTTTTCAGCTTTTCAAACAGAAGGAAAACTATATCTTATTTTGGATTTTCTCAGGGGAGGAGACTTGTTTACACGGTTATCCAAAGAGGTAAACTTTGATTTTTTTTTTTTTTTTTTTTTTTTTTNTTTTTTTTTTTTTTTTTTTTTTTTTTGGGAAAAATCTGGACAATTCTGTTTTGATGCAGATGAATGCAGCAAAAAGTAGAATGTTACTTGTACTGAAAAAGCATTCTGATGACGCTTTGATCTTGAGCCACTCAAGTTTTATAAGACTTCTTATAGTTAAATAAGAAATATTCATCATAGAATCATAGAACCCTTAAGGTTGGAAGGAACCTTTAGAGATCATCTAGTCCAACCCCCCGAGTACACGCAGGGTCACCCAGAGCACGTGGCACAGGGCTGCATCTAAGTGGGTTTTAAAGATCTCCAAAGAAGGAGTCTCCACAACCGCTCTGGGCAGCCTGTTCCAGGGCTCTGGCACCCTTACTGTCAAAAAGTGTTTCCTTAAGTTTCTGTGGAACTTTTGGTGCCTCAGCTTGTGGCCATTTTGTCTAGTCCTATCTCTGGCCACCACTGAAAAGAGGCCCCCCCCTCCTCCTCACTGCCTCCCTTGAGGTATTTATAGACACTGATCAGGTCCCCCCTCAGCCTCCTCTTCTCCAGGCTGAACAGACCCAGCTCCCTCAGCCTTTGCTCATAGGGCAGATGTTTCAGGCCCCTGATCATCCTGGTAGCCCTGCACTGGACTCTCTCCAGCAGCTCCACATCCCTCTTGTACTGGGGAGCCCAGAACTGGACACAGTACTCCAGATGTGGCCTCACCAGGGCTGAGTAGAGGGGGATGATCACCTCCCTCGACCTGCTGGAGACGCTCTTCTTAATGAACCCCAGGATCCCGTTGGCTTCTTGGCCACCAGGGCACACTGCTGCCTCATGGTCAGCTTGTCATGCACCATGACACCCAGGTCCCTCTCTACAGAGCTGCTCTCCAGAAGGTCAGTCCCCAGTCTGTAGTGGTGTCCAGGGTTATTCCTCCCCAAGTGCAGGACCCTGCACTTGCCCTTGTTGCACTTCATGAGGTTTCTCACTGACTGACCCCTGGGGAACACCACTAACTACAGGTCTCCAACTGGACTCTGCACCACTGATCACCACCCTCTGAGCTCTGCCATGCAGCCAGTTCTCAATCCACCTCGCCATCCATGCATCTATCCTACACCTCCAGAGTTTGTCCAGGAGGATATTGTGATGGTTGGTGTCAAAAGCCTTGCTGAAGTCCAGATAGATGACATCCACCACTAATAGGTTCCTTCATCTGTGCTACTTATTTATAAGTGATGAAGTGAAATGGGCATGTTGGATACAATTTCTGTCATTCTAATATAGGTCACTTAATGTTATCTGAAAATAGATCAGATGAATTGTAGCCTACAAGTTTCTGCTTTATTGCCTTTGACTGTAAAAGGGCAAGTCATTAATTCAGAGGTAGGTGTCTACGCTGCAGATGTTTAAGTTCCAGTGAGAGGAATTCCACATAATGTTTATTACCATTCTCATAAAATCTTAGATTATATGGGCCTTTAAATCTTAAATCTGTTCCCCTTCTTGTACTCACCTGTACTAAATATTGGTGTTCTTGTGGGAGTAGCATCAGCAGGTACCTTTTGTACAAGCTTTGATAACACTTCCTCTTTCTAAACTATGAAGGTGAAGATGAATGTTATTTTCTGTTCTTAATCCTTGCCATCACGTGCCATATAATGTGGCAGATCTGGTGGCAGCGTTTTCCCATAATTCTTGAAACTGTCAAATATTTTCTTTCAGTTGATGGCCACGTTTGTTGGTACACTGGGATAGCAGATCTCATGGCACCGAATGTAGGCAGTGGTTAGTTTACCTTCCTAGTAGAAGGTGTAGGGCAGCTACTTGAGATCTACCTGCTTCTACGTAGGGCCGATTTGTCAGTTCACTCTTTGATCCACCACTTCTGTGCTTATGCCTCAGGCCGTATCTTGGAATTTTTATTGTCACTTCAGTTTCTTTCTGCTGGTACTTAGAGGCAGTCTCCTCAACATTAAGGTGTATATGATTTTCTTGCCTCTCTGATTTATTAGAAGAAATTCTGGCATTTGAAGTTCTTTGACCCTCTTATCAAATGGAGATCAAATGTTCATGTCCCATAAAGAGTTAGTCACAGTGTTTCAATGATCTCTCCCCCCTCAAATTTTAGTGCTTCTGCAGTGCATCTGTTATTCTCTTGAACAACAGGAAACAAATAACGTCAGGTGGACAGAAAGAGTGATATGAGATTATATTGGTTTCAGAAGTTGTTTTTTAAGCACATACTGCAAAACAGTATTGATAATAAAATATTAATTTGTCTAAGCAAGCAATTTCAATTTCCAATTTTTATCAGAATGACTGTGAAGACGCCTTCTGCACAACCACTCAGTTGTTTTGTTAGTGCTGATGCGAACTTGACAAGTATATCACTTTGTTTTTTCAGGTGATGTTCACAGAAGACGATGTTAAATTTTACTTGGCGGAATTAGCACTTGCTTTAGACCATCTACATAGTCTTGGAATAATATACAGGGACCTGAAACCAGAAAAGTAAGAATCAGCTGCAGCAAATGCAATGTATTAATTTGTTTTTATAGTGATTCTACTTACATGCTTCTCTTTCCAGCTGTTAAACTTAGAGGAGTTACTTTGTAAGGTGAACAGGAAAGGGAAAAGATTGTTGTTTTAAATAAACAATTGGATTTTATTTCCACTAGAGAATGAGAATCTAGTTTGAGTGGTGTGCTAAATAGTACTTTCCCTTTACTGTGGCTTTAAGTAAAGAGTATACTGGACTATTTAACTTTCCACATGTTATGCAGTGCAGAATAGAGAAGAATATGGGCCTTTTTTTTATTTTTAGGAGGGGGGATCCTTAGGTGTTTGTGTTTGACGTTATTGTAGAGTTTTTAGACTAAAGAATACGGTATGAACAAATTCATGGTACAAGGTTGCAAATGAGTAAGTCACTTTTTTTTTTTTGAACTATTGATAATGAATTGCACAAAAAACTTGGAACAAACATAAAGGTACAGGTCGAGTGGGGTGTTTCTTACCTTTAGTAGCATCCCTGCATCTTTCAAATGACTGAGATCTGTCTCCTCTTTCTTTACTGCATTCAGTTTCTCAGGTTTTCTAAGACGTAAAACAGAAAATGTTTTTTCTCATGTTAGTAGTCCCATCTGGAACATTTGGACCTCTCTGATACAGAATGCTAAAATGTTTACGTGTGCTATAGCATTACTGCTTACCTGGAGACATGTCTCAAATGAAAATACAACGTGTGCATCTTCTCAGATAGTTAATGCAGTATCCTATGTACTATGCCTTATTGTCACGACATCTATAGTTATTCTGCAGTCCCAATGTCTTTGGTGATCCCAATCCTCTATTATGCCTATATCGAGAACCTTAAAAGTCTGTGAGATATCTGTCTCATGTAAAGTATTGGTGCAAAGGGCAATCAGAGAAGCTGACTTGCATGGAGCTTCCATTAGTGTAGGTGCATCTCCATTGGTATTTTGTGCATCTCCAGGAAAAGATGGACACAAAATTTAGGGCTCTGTGACAGGAAGGGGTCTAAGTGGGTGACTTAGCTCTTCAGGGGTTGGGTGGGAGTTTCACCTAATCTGAAGGAGAAAAATCATTTTTCTCATTTCTTTTCGTGTCTGATGTCCCAAACATAATTGGAGCATATCTTGAGGTATTTAATACTTAATATTCTGTGTTGTCTATGGCAGTATTGTCAGATATATGCTACCTCCCTTGATTACCTACAAACAGGAAAATTAATTCCCTGTAAACCTTCAAAGTGTACTAGTAAGAAATTATAAAGTGAAGAAAATCAACCTACCAAATTAAAAAAAAGCAAGAAAGCGTGAATAATTTTGCTCACATTAATAAAGAGAAAGATGAAATAGTATTTTTCAAAGGACTAAATAGCTCATGCTTCAGGCACTGTTTCTTTTTTTTAATTTATTATGTCCATACCTACCAAAACCTTGGTTCTAAGCCTTATATGCCTCTGATTCAGCATCTTTTCAAAGTGTTTTTTCAAAAGGTTTTTTTTTTTGCAAGTAATAAATGAGAATATAGTAACTCCCACAGGCTATATGTATACTGTGGAGCTAAGCTCTCAGTGTGGAAACTGGGAAAAGGGAAAGAGAAGGGCAGGGAATGAGCAAGTGTCCGGGTCTTATCACAGAGAAGAAACGCAGCTCTCAAGGGAAACCAAAGTAGCTAGGAAGTCTGCAGCGCAGGTGTTGTCGTAGTCCTGCATTTTGAACACTTTGAATTGTCACCGCGCTGGGTGACCATGAAGGATAGTTGGTGTCTGAGAGGTGTGTGGCTTTTTTTTGTGGTTGCATAAACATAGATGGAAGCAGAAGGCCTGGATCAAGTATAGGACCTATTGTCCTATGGCTTTGATGCAAAAAGCAAGATAGTTTTCATTACGTGATAATTGTTTGGAGGTCAATACCATTTTGAAACCCTGAATGCAAATGAGTATACAATTTCTTTGTAGGCAAACATATATTGTATTAGTTGTTACAGCTTTATTTCTCTATATAAGAGAAATAAAAATATATTTCTATTTTTATCAATATTATGATAATGGCATATGCTGCGGGTGCCTAAAAATGAAAGTTCAAGATAAAAGCTATTGCCTGCCACACTGAACTCAAGCAACTAATTTAACAAAACTATGTCAGGCTGATTCTGTTTTATATTATTGAATATGGAGGAAACAAAGGAAAACAAAATGTGTATGTTCAAATTATCTCCTCCTGATGTTTCATTTCCATGCATGTGCATTTTTACATGTCTTTGTGTTCTTTTTCTGTTCTTTTTTGTTCTTAAACTTTATCAGTACATTTTCCAAAATAACAGTGTAGATACTTAATTAGCTTATTTTATTCCCTTGTTTTTTAGCATACTCCTTGATGAAGAAGGACATATCAAATTGACAGGTGAATAAAGGGAATTTGCAACAACTGGATCTTTTCTGTTCATAAAATCTCTGAATTTTCTTTTTCAGAGAAATATGGTAAAATCAATAATTTTAAATAATAAGCAATTTTGTGAAGTACATAGTGTTAATGGTGAATAAATGAAATATATTAACTTTTAAATAAGACATCTAATTTAAACATGAAGGTCTTGCGATGGATCTCTAATCATTTTCTGAGGAAATCTGATCTACATATATATTTGGCTATACACATAAATGGTAAGAGAGTTGTATTTCACATTTTGGTGAGAATGTGAGCGATTATCATAATATTTACACGTATATATTATGTATGTATACATGCGTTTATACAGGCACATATACATGCGTAAGCCATACACATATTGATAGAGAGTGTTCCCAACCTTCTTTTTTTTTTCTTCTAGATTTTGGCCTTAGCAAAGAGTCAATTGATCATGAGAAAAAAGCCTACTCTTTTTGTGGGACAGTGGAGTATATGGCACCAGAAGTTGTTAATCGACGAGGCCATACACAGAGTGCAGACTGGTGGTCTTTTGGTGTTTTAATGGTAGGTTTCTGGTAAATGTAACTGATGGCAAAACTCTGAAACATTAAATTGTAGGATGAGCTTTAAATAAATTCTAATTACCATAAAAAATCCAAATCGCATGAAATTAATCAACAGCACTGCAGAGTGTATATCAAGATGTCAAGTCTGCCTCTTTTCAGCATCAATAATATGCTGTTTGAGTGAAAGATTGCGTATCTGTTGTTGCTGAACGTTAGAGAGCCTAACAAGAACAAAGAAGTATAAGGAGGCAGAGGGGGAATACCCTTTTTGTGGTTTTTTTTGCTTGTTTGTTTGTTTTTAAAGGGCGGGGAGAAATCTAGATCCATTTTTTAAAATTGAATTTACTTTCAAGTGGAAAAAAAAGTTCTAATTACATTCTGCACTGTAATTACAAGATAAGGGTGTAATGGCAGCTGCTGCTTTGCAAATCTCAAAAAATACTCTGAGCTAGTGTGGGATAACTCCATATGATCAAGGAGCTAACTTGTCATATTGCAGGGTCAGGTGTGTATTGCATAGCAAATACAAATTTGAAAAGGAAAAACAGATCAGGTGTGGTGTTTTAGCAATGCTGAGTGGCGTCAAATATTGTGTGTTTTTGACAGTTAGATTAAATAATTGTATTTTGGAAAGGAAATGTTTTTGTTCCTTACTGCTTCTGTAGTACCTATATAAATATAACAGTACAACTAATGAATGGGCTTTGTAGTATGAGGACTCCTCTGTCTTAAAACTAAGCTCTATCCTCTTGCCTTTTCATCACTGAGATGCTGATGTGATCTGAAAGTTGACTGTGACAAAGTAGCACCTGGTAACTAAACGTTGTCCAGAGAGACAGAGACATGCACGTCCTCCCCACTGCACATGGCATCCATGAGACACGTTCTAGCATTGCTGTAAACTTTGAGCAGCCCAAATGGCAAAATGAAGCTGCAGCATCAATTAAATAAGGACAGGTCTGTTGCAGGCTGTTTGTTGCTGGTAACACAAGCATAGTTTAACATTTTCAGCTTTAGTTTATAGAATTGGAAAGCATAATTTTGTGCTTATAAGGAACTTAAGTTAAAATGAAAAACTGCTGAAGGATACTGAACGTGACTGGCCTAACTTCCACAGTCTGTGGGCTTTATTTAAAATACTTTTGCTTTTGATTTAAATTTGAAATGATCACCTTTAAAAAAAATCTGTAAATCAGTGTATGGAATACAGTGTTGCTTCCTCTAAGACATATTTTCATTGCCTGCTTTTCTTAGTTCACGCACTCATTTTCGTAGGCAATCCATATTCACTCTCAAGTCCTACGTAAATGCAGTCTCTGGTTGTGAAGAATTCAAGTGGTTTTGCACTGAGATTAGAGAGAAGTTAATAGCATAGAAATTAAAGCTAGTTAGATATCTTAATAAATCATTTGGCCCTTTTTCTAACAGTGTTACATATTAAGTGTATTAAAGCTGTCTTCGAGCCCTGTTTGCTCTTTATAATAGTGAACGTTTTAAGGGATGCTAGACATTTAAAATCATTTTAATAAGTTTTCAGAAACATTAGTATTTATTGAAGTGATTTCCTGATGAAATTTAAAATGACAATGGGATAAGGCCAGTTTTGAGAGTTTTCCTTAAAGTAGTATTGGCATTATGGGTAGACTACGGCATTTTAAGAAGGAGGACAAAGAATATATATGCTGAGCAGTTTACACAAGAAATACTTAGTTTTATCTGGATTTTGGTGCATATGCCTGTGGTGAATAGGAACTTACTAAAGCAACTTTACTGCTAATCTATAAAATTTTGAGTAAGCAAATGACAAAAAAGCAAGACTACAAACTTATCTTTTTAAGAAAAACATTTTTGGCAAGTGTACTTTATGAAACTCTTCTAAAATACAAACAAAAATACTGAATTACTTGATAGTAGTGTTTTAGTCTTCAATTCAGCATGTTTTTGACAACTATGATAAGAACTATTGCAGTTAGAAGTAGCATTTTTGCATAATGGTATAATACTCTTTTAAATTAAAATGTAATGTACAAAACCAAAATATCTAGTACTAGGGCAGCATTGACAGCTCTTACTCTCTGATTATAGGATAGTAAGAAATTTAATAATTAACTTTCATAGAAAGACTTCTTAAAGAACGCCATTCATGCAACTTCATGCTCTTATTTTAGATCTAAAATACTACTGCTCATTATTTGCTCAAGTTATCTGTGTACATTTCTAATGCTTAGAGTAAGCACTTTGGTTGTATGGAAAAATCAGGAATACAAGATACCTTGGGCAAAGGGTGACATAAGCTTGCTTGACTGTAGCTTTACCATTATTTTAATTTTGAAGGCTTTAAATGTTTGCCATGCTGTTTCATATAAATGTTTCTAAATTAAATTGTTCTGCAATTCTTAAACCAAAAGTAAGAATTCCTGGAATTTTGGCTGCGATGACCGCTGCTACGGAGCTTTCCAGCCCTGAGTTAGCTCTGTTAGCTCTGCTCTATGCAGCAGCCCTGCAGAAGTGTCTTTATATTTATCTATTTTCACCCTGTCACTTTCAGAACAGATCCATGTTTTAAGTGTCCTTTGCCAACTCCTGACTACTCTGTACTGTGCATGGGTGTACTGTGCATCTCGTGTGCTTGGTCAGCCTTTATTTTCATTGTATGTGTAGAGTAATCACCTTTCATCATGCATGTCTTTGTCAATCAGCTTTTCCTTTTCCATTGAAGGCTAGGTACATGCCATTAAAAAAAAAAAGACTTTTTTTTTGATATATCTCTGCATGAAGAGAAGTTGTCACCAATTTTTGAAAGGGGAATCTTTTTCTCTACTGCCACCATCTAGAAAACCGAAGTACAGTTGTATAGCTCAAATTTTCCAACTGGTTTCTGATTAGGCAGAAAAGAAGAACAGAAAATTATAGTCCACACTGTTCAGATAAAAGTGTGTAAAGCAAGGTTTTAACAGAGGAAAATGTTTTGCAGCTTTAAAAATGGCAGAGGCTGCTCATAGGCATTTAAGTCTGTGCAGTGAGAAGTTGTTTTGCATACACTTGGTTGTTAACATGCATGAATTTTGGAAGGTTAAGATGCTAAGTATTGTCAAAAACTAGATTTTGTTCAGGTTATGTAATTGATGAAAGTTTTACTCTATACAGTTTGAAATGCTCACTGGTACTCTACCTTTCCAAGGGAAAGACAGAAAAGAAACCATGACTATGATTCTCAAGTGAGTACACTCTTACTTATATATCTCATCAGGTAATCTACAGGGATGCCCTCCGGGCTGCAATATCTAATTTCTACTCTTCCCTCATTTCCAAAGGTACTGGTAAATCCTCACTCCCTATTCCATACTACTAATTCCTTTTATTTCCCCTTATCACTTATCTAATTTGCCTTTCTACTCCTTTCCCGGATACCAAGAATTTCATAGCAAATGTTTGATCTGTAATAATCTTCTATAGCCATATGATCTTTTCCATCTTATTTCCATAATATTTTTAAATTTCTTATCCTTTTGGTACCCTGTACATTTTTCCATGATTGTTTTTTATGGTTTTTTTTTATTTGTTTCATTTTTTAATGTATTTTCTTTCCTTATCCTTCTCTTTCTTACCAGTTCCACATCCAGTTTCTTTATATTATTGCTGTTGCCAGCGACTTGCTTCATTGATACTGCCCTTATTTGCTAAAGGGCATCCTCTCTTAATTACTCCCCTGTGACTTGCTGTAGCTCCAATTTTTCCCTTTACTATTTCCAGTACAACTTTTTTATTAGCTATATTGTGGAAATTGCTTTCCTTCATGCAGTTAACATTCTCGCTAATGAAGGTCTCCTTGTTTTTTCTCCTTTGTGTTCCCTGTATTTTCTTTGAAGTACAGACAGTGACATTGTATTAGTCCCGCTTCCAGGGCTGTAGCCTAACTGTGCAAACTTTTCTTTTTCCTCATGTCATAATTTCACTTATGTATCCAAAACATTATATTCTAATACTATTTTTCCCGCATGGTTGCTCATGAGACTGCTTTTCATTGCTCGTTTGTTTTTCACTTCACTGTTCATGTCTGTGTTATTTACCATTTATTTACCTACCTATATATGAAGGATAACATTACTTTTGCACCAACAGCCTGTTTTGAAAAGTAAATACGTGAAATTTGTTCTGATATTTTTTCAAGTGATTTGATGTGGACTCTGTTAGAAAATGTAAACCATTTTTCTCCCTTGCATTTGTTTTCATAATACATACATGTTATTCTTAGCCTTCATTTTTCTTTTTCATTTTATATTTGCCAATGTACATAGTAGTACTAACTTCTACTACTGCCTGAAGACCATACCAATTGAAATCTCTGGTTGTGTTGTGATTATTGTGTGCCTCAGTAATTAAAAAGGTTCTGTCTGTTCACAGCAAGGGTTAACTGCTTCTGCCCACCTCCCATTTAGGAGAAGCAAGTCCGAGACAGTTGTGCTGTGCTCTCGCTTCCTTCAGAGCCCTGTCTTTTCTAGCCATGTCTCACAAGTCCCTTCTTTCTCTCTGCTGTCCGTATGTGACATATGTGACACCACTGTTGTGCAAGAATTTTCTGTGCTCAGCTGCCACACAGAATGCCCTCCTGGTATCTCTCCGGTCAACTGACATTCATAACTGCTTTCAGAGTTCATCTGCATTATGAGCACTTCCTTTTCTCACTACTAATCTCCGTAATCATATTCTTTATTTTGGAGAGTCATACAAAAGAAGTGGTACAAATTAAAAGAAGTGGAAGAAATTTTACTGCTATTTTGTTTTTCTGCATATTTCCAATCAATATATAACTATAAATCTATTTTGCTATTAGTAATATATACCAGCTTGGAACCAAAACTCTATTTTAAACTTTTTAACTCTTTCTGATATAAGCTCTTTTTTTTTCTTTTTTCTGTTTTTTCTGGCTTTTTAAGAATTACTGAATGGCAGTATGTGTTCTTTCTATTTTCATTATACTGACAAATTTGCTATAACTCTCCTTATGTTAATCTTAAAGCCATTTGCAGAAACTATTCAGAGATGCCTGCAGATTGAATTCATATATTAGTGTGCTATTTAAGATATATTGCTGTTCTTTCTGATAATTCACAGAGAGTGCACTTTTCCTGCAGCCTGTTTTTCTGGGCTCTATTTCTCACAATATCACCACAGTATCACCAAAACAAGTTTCTGTTGGTTATCTTTTGTTTTACCTATAACTGAGAAAATCTGACGTTCGAAGAAATCATCATTTGTGACCAAAAAAAGTTACTTTTCTGAAGTATCTTTTCTCCTATACAGAAAAGGCATGACTTTATATAACATCTTTGCCTTCATTTATCAGAAATGTCAGAATAAACTTGTTGTCAGTCACATAGATATGTAACCTAGGGACTCACAGGACACAGTGATCCATTTTTCTTCTCTGTAAAGTGGCTGATGAAGCATTTTCAGAAAGGTGCTCCTTCATAACAGAGGAAGAAGTGTCAGTCCTACTCTGTCGTTTACGGAAGGCCTCTCTCTTAATCCAGCGTGGACGTACAGTGCCTGTCCTCTAGAATTTCTTCTAGGAGTTTTGCTTTTGTTTGTTGGGTTTCATCTCCATGAGATTAACTGCAGATATGTTTTTGGGCAGGTTTTTTGTTTTTTTATTTTTAATTTCTAGATAGTTGACCTCTCATGCCAAACCTCCAACTGATTCCTGCAGCTGTGAAACTTACAATAATTGGGCAAAGATTTCTTTTATTTTAAAATGAATTTGCTTCCTTGGTGTTTTTTGATAATAAGCACACTTTAAAAATGATCAACTTAGATGAAAGATTTACAAAATTGTAAACTTTCATCCAATGTCTCTTCTTCTTTGCCTTTTCTGACAACATTATTTTTCATTTATGTTCCTGAGCTAGTACTGAAAATAGATTATTTGAAATTACACATCTGCCTGAGTGACAGCACTTTTACTCTGTCTCTGATGTCTGAAGCCAATATCTTGGTGACATTATTTTGCTCAAAATGAATATATTGAATGACGTAGTGTGTGTATGAGGCAGGGGAGGTGGAAAGTTAATTCTTACCTTAATGTGTTTATATGTTATTAATTATTTTTGTTGTATAGGGCCAAACTTGGAATGCCCCAGTTTCTGAGTCCTGAAGCACAGAGTCTTCTCAGAATGCTCTTCAAAAGAAACCCAGCAAACAGATTAGGTGAAGTGTTTAACGGAATATTTTAAATTGGCCGGCTTTGAATTGACTGTAAAGTGGATCAAATAAATGATCAATGACAAAGTTTAGTTTCAGGTATAAAATGGGCTCTGTAGCAAGATCATATTTGATCTATTTACTGTTTGTTCTAATGATCAGCAAAGTATTACATCACTTTTGCTATTCTTGTTTCAAAAACTAAAAATAAGAAATGAAAATATTCAGCTAGGCCTTATTCTGACTCAGAAGAATATAATTCATAGCCATTTTTCTTCCTTATAAAAGGAGCGGGTCCAGATGGAGTTGAAGAAATTAAGAGACATCCATTTTTTTCAAAAATAGACTGGAATGTGAGTATTCAATTCAAAAATAATTTAATAAATTTCAAGTAAAATAGCTTTTGGTGGTATTCTCTAACTTTTAATCTACCCTGGTCTGTAATTTCTCCTCAGAAATTGTACAGGAGAGAAATACATCCTCCTTTTAAACCTGCAACTGGCAGGCCTGAAGATACATTTTATTTTGATCCTGAGTTTACAGCAAAAACTCCAAAAGGTAAAAGAAAAACAACTAAGTAAAAGAACAATTTACGTATTCAAAAATCAGAAACACTGCAAAACTTTATGTAAGGTCTTCTCCTAGTTGTTGCTAGACTAAATAAATGCTGAAGATTAGTTTCAGGTGTTCATAATTTTTTTTGTGGTCTTTGGCATAAATATATCAGAGTGACTACTGAGTTGTGTAATACAAAAAGTAGAAAGTTGTCCTCGGCCAAAAAGCGTACATGTAAGTAAAACTCAACATATATGAGCAATCCCATACTTTCAATTAATAGGATTTTGCATGTCTGGCTGTCTCCAAAAATGGCCTCCGAGATGGCCTCTGTGGCTTCTTCTGATTCATGGTGGTGACTACATGATATAGATGGTAAAGCCGGTGTTTCAGTGCTAACACTATCTTTGCGTAGTATTACTCTGGTCTGATCAGTATCAGGTAGAGAGTTTTGTCTTTATTAATTAGGTGTTATCAGAGTTGAGTATTTTTCCTCCATAAGTGTAAATATGCGGCTGTACGTAAATATTTTGTCCAAGTACTGTTTTTAAGTAACAATATGTTGGCATAACATCATCTCTACATTTTAAAAACTTTACTTGCTGCATTTGTAAGTAGATGATGTGTATTCTTTCAGATTCACCTGGCATCCCACCCAGCGCTAATGCACATCAGCTGTTTCGGGGATTTAGTTTTGTAGCTATTGCATCAGATGATGAAAGCCAAGCAATGCAGACAGTTGGAGTTCATTCAATTGTCCAGGTGAGTACTTCTGCTGAGAAACAGGCACTAAAGCTCTGTTTCTGTCTCTCACCGTGAGGGAGATGCCTTTGTTGTAATGAAGTCATTATCAATCTTAAGCAAGAAAACTGAAGCTCAAATTATTCTAAGCAAGTGAGTTCTCTGAAGATGCCAGCCCTGTTTCATTATTGAGCGACCATAGGTATGAGCAGGCGTGGGCATCCACCTTTAAATGAAAAGGTTCTGTCTTCTGATATTTCATATATTTTTTTGACCTCTAGATTATCAGGTCATAGTTACTAAAGTGAGGATAAAACAGCAGATACTTGGATAGTTTTCTGTTATGCAAAAATATATCTGCTGTTTTGTCTGTAATGCAGCTAAGAAATAATAGAATACAATTGTAAAATAGTATATCTGGATGTTTTCTACTGCTGTGTATTTTAGAATCTATGAAGGGTAAATATAATCAGTCTTTCACAAGCCACATTAAATGAATGTGTTAATCTGTGGTATTTCTCAACTACTGCTATTTCAGTGTATCACAGGAGTGCAGTGTTGTAGCATAGGTACAAGCTGTGGCTTCTTTGCAGTGTTAGAATGGCTGCAATACAGTCTCTTTGAGTAGCAATTGTGAGTTTGTTGCTTTTAATAGTCTAATGTGGCTGCTATTCTTACATATTCCTACTGTCAGTGCTGCTTATTTTTGGACAACAAAGCCTTAGTTGCACACAGCTGTCTCTGAGATGAGAAACGATGACCTCAAGCTGCAGTGGAGGAGAGGCGGATTTTGCCTCCTCAAACAACTGAGGTCATTTTGAAAATATGCTTTGGTGCTAGAAAGTGTTACCTACAGGAAAAAAGGCAAACCTGTCTGCACAAAAGGAAAATGAAAGACCTCAGTAAAAAAAAAAAAAAGTATTTCTGTCTCCTGTTTCTGCTTTTAATATTTCAAATTACTGAGGAAAATTCATGATGGGATGTACAGATAGGAACTAAAATGATATCCTGTAAGATGTGTGTGTGTTTTCGTTGTAAGAATATTTGCAAATGTCTACAAAAGTGAAAAGCTGTTCAGAATATGAATAGCTCTTGTATTTCTTGCCGGATCCTTTTACTATGCCTAGAATAAGCATAGTATACGTATTTGATCACTGCTTATTTCTCTTAGAAACTGTTAAATTTTAAGGGTGCTCTTTTGTTTTAAAGAAGCTCTCTGATTTGGTATACTCATCAGAACGATTTCTAGCAGCAGTTTATGCAAGCTTTGCTGTGCTCTGTCTTTCCTGCAGAGTCTTGTGGCTGAATTTCTTTCTCTTTGTATATGGTTTCCTTCTCTTGAAAAAGTCTCCATTTCTCTAAGGCCTTTCCTGTGTGCCCCTCAGCCACTTCCTCACAACCATTTCCTCTTTTCTCCACAGCAGGATACCCAGCTGGTTTCCTGCAAATGCTTTGTATCCTTTACACAAACTCCAGCTGTTCCCTTACACCAAAACACCATTTCCTTCCCATACAGGAGAGAACACTTCCTCTTCTTTCTGCTTTTTATTTCTCTAAAAGGGTTTTCAATTCCTGCTCGTATGAATATTTTAAGTAGTCAGTTATTCTGATTATATTCACTACGTCTGTATATCCGAACTAGCATTTCGCATGCAAAGATATAGACATGACCGTTCATTTATGTGGATACTAGGAACAGTGGTGCTTTTCTAACAATACCTGTAGTCTTCTGGTCATCTTTTTCTTGCACATTCTATCTCAAACTAGTAAATGAGTCACACTCGTCAGATTCTAAAATAAAGCATGCATTATTTACAATGTATCTTATACAGAATTAACCTTGTGCTAATGTAGTGGCCTATTGAAAACCATTTTACCTAGCACAGTTGAAAATCAGGAGCAACTGGGTAATTTATTCTTAATACAAAAGTAAACAACAGATTTTAGAATATTCATCAATTGATAATGTTATTTTGGTAGCAGTTGCACAGGAACAGCATTCAATTTACTGATGGATATGAAGTAAAGGAAGATATCGGAGTTGGGTCTTACTCTATTTGCAAGAGATGTATTCATAAAGCTTCAAACATGGAATATGCTGTAAAGGTAACCACTTAGTTTTAAAACAATGCGTGTTTCTGAGGATTTAGCATCATAGTTTTCAATCATTGTGGATATGCTGTAAGGAACATAGCAAACTTAAAATTGTTTTATTAAAATGAAAATAATAAAGTTTCCATTGATATTCAAAATATTTAAGAAAACAATATTTACTGGCAAATATTAATGTAGCATTGCAATAGTTTTGTTATCTATATGCTGATTGGGGCGTAAGGAAAGCAGTCATCAGTCTCTGAAACACCTGTGTAATTCCTCTAAGCATGGGAGTTGCATGACTGCTTCTAGAAGGAAATGAAAAGCATGTATTGCTTTTCATCATTTTGAAAAATTGCAGTTGATTATTTAAACTTTTTCATTTTGCTTCCAAAGTAGATTCACATATTGTAATATACACATTCCTTACAGTACTCTTGTCCAGTGTGTCTTCCAGAATAAACTTCAACTCTGTTTGCTTGCTATTTTTTAACAGGATTTCTAATGTTATTTCAGTTTTATTCTGTCGGGCTTTTTAACTCTTTTTGAAAGCATTTAATTCTTACTGAAATCAGTACAGTTCTCAAAAATGGAATGATAGGTTGTTAAGTTTGTATGTTTTGTTTTGTTTTTGTTTTTTATTGTCTTTACATGTAAAATTGTGGAGCTACCTTGAAAGCAGACATATAGGTTAGCAGATTTTAAATCCTTTTCTTTTTCTTTCAATACACTGTTATTGAAGCAGATGGAATTGGAATGGATGGATGGATGGCATTCCAATTTTTTTGAATCGCTGAATAACATAAATTATGCTTTGCTGTATCCTTCGCACAGATTGCCTGCTGGAAACAACTCCAACGTGGTGGTTGTTTTTTCATTTCTCTGGTTCTGATCAAATTTGACTTTTTTTTCACAATATGGAATAATTTATTGAACTGAAAGAAAAGAATTTGCTGTACTGCTCCTTCTCTGGACCTTAACAGTCATTAAGACTGCACTTCTTTCTCTTAATTGCTATTTTATGCTGCCTCTCTTGTGGCTTCTCAAGAAACTATAAAGAAAGACTAAGGCAATGAGTATCCAGTGTGCTAGGATGATGCTGATAGCATTCAGGACTTTAAAAAATCAGAAGAGGAAGGGGTAAGATAGAGATGGAAAAGATAGTAGAGGAAATACTGCAGTTCAGAGAGAAAAAAAATAGAAGCAGTGTTATCTTTATTTGCAGATAGCACAAGTGTGGCAGCCACCACTAGTTACATTAACTTCTTGAGGTATAATCCTTTTAAATTGGGCAAAATAGTGTTGTGTTTTGTTGGCATGGGGAGATCTTCAAAGCCTGATAGCAATTCTCAGAGATTCAAATGAACTTCACAGAAAAGGATGTTTATCTGAGTTCGCTATAGATGGTTTTTCCTTTTTCTAATTTTTGACGCCTGCGCTGTCCTCCTCTGTTTTTTGCTGCACTGAATGGTTGTTTCAAATTAGCTTTGTCAACATCAGTGCATTAGCATTACCAAACCAGTATCTCACGTCAAGTTGAGAACTTTCTAGTTTGTAAAATGGTAGGTAACTGAAGTCTTGCTACCAAGCTTGCATTATTTATCCCAATGTGGCGAATCCATTTATCCACCAAAACTGTTCTGAACTGTTTGAGCTGAGAGATTCTGCTAGTTTTTCCCTCGTTCTTTGCTTTGTTTTGCTAGTCAGTTAGGAAACTTGCCCTCGCTTCTCATCCATGCTGTTGGCCGACAGTGATAGATGCTGTTGGTGTGTTTATAGTAATAACCACACTGACTGCACTGCTGATGTTCCAAGAAATGAACCTCCATATCTGTTTGATCTTGCAGATCATTGACAAGAGTAAAAGAGACCCAACAGAGGAAATTGAAATCCTACTGCGCTATGGGCAGCATCCAAACATTATTACCCTAAAAGATGTAAGTAGAATGATAGATACCTGTTAGGGCATTATAGTTGTATATCACTTCTTAACCTGAAAGATTACAAATTTCATGTCACAGATGTTCCATTAAGGAAGTGAAAACAGTATATTTTTTGCTTATTTCTACTCAAGAATGATTTTTTAGGGAAAATTTATGGAAATACGCCTAATGCAGGAAAAGATATGAGTTTCACGTGTGTTAAAAACTTTTATGGTATCCACTACAGCAGGAACAAAACATTGTTTTAAGTAAGTTTACACTGTGTTTATGTGTTGGTCAAATTCCTTGTATTTTCCACAGTCACTGGTGCTTGGTGCTGTATTACAACTTCCATAAAAAAACAAGCATGGGACATTTGGACCTCAAGATCATTGAGAGCCTGAGGTCTTATTACAAAGATTTGACTTAGTGCTGATTTGTCTCACTTTTCATTCTATTCCAGAACAAAAACTTAATTGTTTCTATTTTGAAATGCCAATATATAATGTTTCAGTATTTCCCAGTGCTTGTGTTGGGAAATATTTCTTCTGCAAGAAATAATTATTTTCTTACTTTCCTTGTAGCTTCAGCATAAGTAGAGTGAAATTTGACTTGGTGGAAACTTTTGTTCTGACTTAGCTTTGTTAATGTATTTTAACTCTGAAACTGTGTGTATTGAAATAGTGATTATTAGCACCATTTTTTTTCTGCAACACAGGATCCCAATTTTTGTTTTGTTTTTTTTCTTGTGGTCTCTTTTGGTTACATAGTATTTAAACAAAAGGAGGAGCTATAGTGTGCTAAATCAGATGTTCTTACCCATATGCTGCCTCTGACAGTGGTCAGTGATGGATGCCTTGGAAACAGCGTAAGGACTAAGAAGCCACACAGCTTCCAACAGCCTGTGCCAGACCATTATATGTATTTTACTTTTTTCTTAACTTGTCATTAGTTACTGTTTTTTAAGAAAACTTTTATCCTGTTTCGAATCAAGTTACTTAAAGCATTGGATGAAGCATCTTTTCAGCTTTTTAAAAACATGATTAAATTATATCAGACCAGTTTTCCTGCCCGAATATCATTTATCATTTAAAAATCTTCCTTAATGCATTTATATGAAATTCAATTTTACTTCATAAAATCGTGACTCCATTAGATTATATTTTATTTGTGTTTTCTACATGGTCAGATTTTTCGCTATAGCTTCTTCCAGTGTGCCTGGTAGAGCTGATGTACGAGCTGATCGTTAGCAGACCTTGGGACCTCCTCGGAGCTTAAAAGCTGGCACCATGTTTACCATTTCAGCATAATACTGTGCATTTAACTGTCAAAGGAATTTCAGTATCATTTACTTGGTACAAATGCTTCCTGAGATAATTATGTTGATGGTGCCATTAGATTTTGAAGGTTGGGGGAAGTAGGGGAACTTTTTGGTTGGGTTCCCCCCCCTCCCCCATCTAGACAGAACAAGCAAGAGGGTAGCAGATAAAATAGTATCTGAATCCAGATTTTATTTTGTCCACTAGCGTTGCTTGACACTTCATAGTGTCAGTATGAATTAAGCTTCTTTCTTTCTATTTTACAAGCGTTTATGCATATTAAGAAAAATGCCTTTATTCTGAAATGTCATTTTAGGATCTAGAATTACATAATTCTGCTTTTTAATACTGTATAGTGTTTAAAGTAGTAAAACAAAGGCATATGATCTTCAGTCACTTATACCACACAAGAAAAAATATTGTTAAATGAGAATATACAAACCTGTCGTGTCTCCCTCTCCGTAAGAACATAAACTTGTAAAATCTGCAGAATTATTAAACACCTTTCCTCTTTCCTTTGTGTATGAGAAAATGGTTCTTTTAGTTTATGTAAAAGCACAGAAACCTCTAATCTTAGAAGTTTTCAATTTTCAAACTGAGGGAAATTATAATATTCCAAGTGTATATATACCAAGCAGGTATTTGCCAGACAGTTCAAGAGGAGGAAATTGGAATAATTTTTTCTTAAAGTAATTATCTATTTCTAAATTTGTTTAACTACACGATGGAGAACTGCTTCTGCTTAAATACAAGCTGATTATTTCACATGTGTTAAAAGAAGATAATTGTGAAGAACCATGTGTGGAAGTAACAGAGAACAGTCTGTAAAAGGTTTCTGCAGAACAGAAACTATTTTTTGAGTTTAATTTAAAGTCCCAAGGAAGTGAAATGGAAATTAAATGCTTAAGTATTCAATTAAGATGTTTCTGCATAATTTATAGTCCATAGTGCCCCCTGATGACAGCTCAAATAATTTCACAAAATTACAGAAGTCCTGGGCCTGGGGAGAGCCACTGAAGACCCTCCGTTCCACCTAGAGTCACCTACTGCAGGTTTCCTAGGACTGTATCTAGTCAGGTTTGGAATATTTCTGAGGACGGAGACTCCACAGCCTCTCTGGCATTCTGTGCAAGTGCTCTGTCACGCTGACGGAGAAGAAACTTTTTCTTTCCATCAGCCAGGACGGCCTGTGTGTCAGTCTGTGCCCGTTGGCTCTTACTCTGTCACTGGGCAGCACCGAGAAGAGTCTGGCCCTGTCCCCGGGACAGCCTCCCCTCAAGTATTTGCACACATTGATAGTATCCCCCTCTGTTCTCCAGGCAGAGCATCCCAGCTCTCACAGCCTGTCTTGGCATCGCAGATGCTCCAGTCCCGCAGTCGCCTTAGTAGCCCTTGGCTGGACTTGTTCCAGGAGCTCAGAATCTATCCATCTTGTAGTAGGAGACCCCGCTGTGGGCCCCCCCAGGGCTGAGCAGAGGGAAAGGCTCTGTTCCCTCAACCTGTTGACAATGCCGTAATGCACCCCGGGATACCCTTGGCCTTAGCTGTCTTTGCTACCAAGGTGCCCGTGGTCAAGTCCTGGAGGACCCCCAGGTGCTTCTCTGCAAAGCTGCTTTCTAGCAGTTGGTCCCCCAACATGTGGCAATGCCGAGGGCTTCCCTCCCCAGGTGCAGGACTTGGCATTTGCCTTTGCAGAACTTTGTTAGCTTCCCGTCTGCCCATTTTGTTACCTGAGAAGATAAAAGTCACATGAAAATTGGAGGTCACTTTCACAATTTTCCAAAATCAGAAATATAGGTGTAAGGGTATACACTGATTTTGAAGTTTGAAATAGCCATTATGTCTGGGGTAGCATTCAAGTCATAGTAACTTTTTATGAATGAACTTAAATGTTCACAAAGATATTATTTGAGATGAACTTTATTTTTTTATAGCATATGATTATTCACTTGGAATAATCCGTGCTCATGTTTGTAACTTGATGCAATAATTGCTTCTAGAATTGACTATAATTATGCTTTAACTAGAATAGTCTCCATTCTCATTGCTCCCATGTGTAGCTGAATTTGTTTCAGTAAAGCTGTTTGGAGAAACCTGCATATTACTCATCCTTTTTTGTCCTTCAACATTTGCTGACAATATTTTTGTGTCAGTTCATAACTGTACCTTATTTCTTTTGTAGCAAGTATTGTGTTTGAAGATGAGTAGATGTGGGAAGAGGAAATATGCGAAAAGTCATTATAGCTGGTCATCTAATCAAAACAGCTTTCAGATTCACCTTAAAAAGAGACCACCTTATAAAGAGAATAAATATTTTTGAAGTTTACATTTTTATTTTTCACAGGTATATGATGATGGAAAATATGTATATGTAGTAACGGAACTTATGAAAGGAGGAGAACTGCTGGATAAAATTCTTAGGCAAAAGTTTTTCTCCGAGCGGGAAGCTAGTGCTGTCTTGTTCACAATAACAAAGACTGTTGAATACCTCCATGCACAAGGGGTAAGTGTTCGTCTTGGACAAGGAGCATAAAATGGCTACTGTGCTCTTTGAGATACGTGATCCTGGACCTTCGTGCTCTTCGGAGTAGCTAAGTAATTTTTGGTTAATAATTAGATGGCAAAAGAAAGGTTTTGCTGAAATCTTGTGGATTCTGTACATGTCAAAGTAGCATAGATGGCATCACTGTTTCTCTTGTCCTGTGTGCCTCTGTAAGCCGTGTTGGGGAACATGCAGCTAATGCCTGTAATGGAGAAGAAATGGGAGGGCCTAAGCCAGGAGGAGCTGCAGGGACAAGCACGGCTCTGTAGTCATGGGCCTGAGGTACTCCCAGCCCCAGGTCATGAGGGACCCTAGGAATCTGCTGTTTTATACCTGCCACTCATATACTTACTTGCTCCTCCTGATTCTGAAGATGTAATTTTGTCATTTAAGTCATGCACCGTGGAGTCAGGAAGCTGTAGTGGACTATTAGCTATATATATATGTATATATATACACACCTATTAGTGCTTCAGAAAGCTAACTTGGAGACAGATAAAGTAAATCAGAGATGGTAGAGAAGGGAAGTTGGCAATTACACAGCAAGAATGACAAATCCTGTTGCATTTCTAAGTAAATTAGAAAATGGGATAGAGCAGAGGCAGAAAGTATGGGTACAAGGAAAAAGCTGCTGCAAATGTTACTGAGAGAAAAGAAGCTTTAGAATAGATAGTATCCAATTACTGTAAGAAACATAACACTAATTCGGCAAAATCATGTCCTTATTTTTCTGGCAGCTGATACTTCAGAAAATTAGAATTACCCGGTGTACCTGCGTGTGGTGCATCACTTTATTCAAGCACTTATTTATGTGTATAGTGCTTCATTTGAACCTGTGCAGAGAGCTGGAATCTTGGGCCAGCAATCTTGGTGGGAATTATGAACAAACCTTGAAACCCTCTGTGCAGAAGCATAAATAAGAGAATTGCACCATTCTCTTTGAACCTTTGGCTGCAAAAGACCAGGTGCCTACATGTCAAGTAGGAGATTTTAGGTGTGTCGGGAAGGGCTTGGGAAAGTATTTCTGTGTAGGGTTTTAGATCATTATCTATAGACCTGGCACTTAAAATATTGGCATTTTAATTTGCATTAGGCAGGGTGCTTCTTGAAACTTCTTATGGGCTTCACTTTCAGAAGGTTTCCTGTTTCCTTATGTTAAGTGCCATTCCGCGTGAAGGATTGCAGTATGTAAAATATAATTACCACTAGAAGTGTGGCGAGGTCCTCATTTCCAAGACTTCTAAGTATCTATTTTGTTGTCTGGTATGCACAAAGTATTTGCATAGTGGGAGAAGGCTCTACTAAGTAGCTTACTCTATTAAGTGGAATTACAAACTCCAGGTCCAGCCACAGCCTTTTATCTGTAGGTCTCATCGTGCTACTTGTGTTCCAGAACACTAACTTTCCTGGAAGAGGATGTAGGTCTTCTGATCCTGTTCATAACTTAACTCTGAGGAGGTTTGGGGTATCTTCTTGTTCCAATGTCATTACATTGGTGAAATACTTCACCACAGTCTTTCCCAAGAGCATATAAATCTTCCATTTAAATTTAATCATGAAAATCTGCATTTAGTAGCCATCAAATTATATAGGACAATTAGGAAGATAAAGGTCTTCATAGTAGGTCTGTTTAAATCTCCAGCAAAGATAGTTTAAATCCGTTGTGCTCTGTACAGCAATACTCTTTACACATTCCTGTTTTTATAAAGGTTCATTTTAATGTATCTTCAAATAAGACCAAGTTCATTCTGCCAGAACACTAGTGTTTTTTCTCAAGCATTTTACAACTCAAATTCCTGCCAACCAGACACTCCAGTGTATAGGCCAGACCTACTACTAGCTTTTATGAAATGGAAGTCGATTAGAGGAGTATATCCCTGATATTTCTTTTATGAAATGCTAGCCCATTAGAGGAATATATCCCTGATATTTTATTATTGTTTTGGCAGAGCTGTATTAAAGCTCCTCCTTAGCTAAGCTTTAAATGCCTGCATTGAAATCAGTTTAGATTATCTGAAGGAATGGAAGGGAATGCAGAAAGGTGTTCCAGCAGTAACCAGAGTGTGGTTACATGGTCCAGCATGGCATAGCAGCACCTGAGGACATGGGTAACCCAGCAAGCATTGCTAGCCAAGGGTTGTGGTCTGAAGAGCCTTCTAGTTATGCATGTTAGCAATAGGGGGGGAAATGCGTTTTTGTGTGTGTGTGCAGATACACACATATACAGCCATAGGAACAAAATATCTTGAAACCCTATTGTACAAGTAAATACTGATTTCTTAGAATTAAGAGTTTCCACTTTAGAATTATGATATTCTGGGTAGCACTGAATATTAGAATGCTGCCGTTGAGACTAGAAACTGGAAATCTGGAGACTTGATTGTTGATGGGAGTTTCACAGTAAATAGTGGCGTAGATACTTGTAACAGAAATCCCTTTCCTGTGTTTAGCTTATCATGTTTAGGGGTGTGCTTTGTTTCATTTTTCAGGTTGTTCACAGAGACCTGAAACCTAGCAATATTCTTTATGTGGATGAATCTGGTAATCCAGAATCGATTCGAATTTGTGATTTTGGCTTTGCAAAACAACTGCGAGCAGAAAATGGTCTTCTGATGACTCCATGTTATACAGCAAACTTTGTTGCACCAGAGGTAAATATGCCTTATTTTTTTTAACTCGTTGAATGTTTTTCATTTATGTTTAAAGAGTGCAATTATTTTAGAAACAATAAATATTTGAGGTATCACCATTTTTATGGCATAATCAATGCATCCAAAAATGTATTTTAAAGAAAAGTATTTCTTTCCTTCAGGTTTTAAAGAGGCAAGGCTATGATGCTGCGTGCGACATATGGAGCCTCGGTGTTCTACTTTATACCATGCTTACTGGGTAAGAATATTTTTCACTTATTTTTGTTTGCTTTGGAATACAAAACCTGAGCAAACAAAAGCAACAGTCATGGTAAGCGCGCTGCGGAGGATGCTTTGCTTGAGGTACTAATTAATCTGGAATTTGACTGGCTTCCATGAGAGTGTGAGTTGAATGTGCTTTGGCATTAGAAGAATACAAGTTTGCATAGCCTGATACACAGGATTTTTACTTTCTCATGGCTCACTTTAGGTGTCTGGTTTCTGCTTCTTGATGATTTAAGAGTAAGAATTCTTTCATGTCAAAAGTAGCTGATTAAGAAGCGTATTTGTTATGGGAAATGTATTTAGCATGTTTCAAAGCCTGATTGTATGCAAGTCAGCCTTTGGATCGTCAGAGCGACACAGAATCTAATAAACACAATAGAAAGACATATTTTTATGTGCAGCAAAAGGTTTTTAACAAGTTCAATGGTAGTTCCAGAAGTTCAAAAGTAGTTTCTATTGCATCTGACAAGTAGATCATCTTTAGGCTTATTTAACTTCACCTTACTTAAGATGGCCGAATGTCCCTGATGATAACTCTTAATCAAAGCCAGCAAACAGATTAGTTTAAAAAATATAAACAAAACATATATATATATATACACACACACACACACAAAATAGATATAGTGTGTGTGTGTGTGTGTGTGTATATTGCTTTTGATTGGGTCTGTTTCATTAGGAGCCAGAATGGTCATAGTAAAGCAAGTAAAACTGCTGCACCTTGCTTCCTCTAGTATCAAATCACTCCATATTCTTTTTCAGATGAGTTATAAAATCTTCACATTTTATTTTATAAGTATTTGTTCTATTATTTCACTAAGATATGAAAGCTTAGGGATTCTTTTTCATAATTCAGCACTACCAATACTTAGACTGGATATAGAAAAAAAAATGTTTTTTAGAAGAATACAGTAAGAGCTTTTAGTTATATAGAAAGAGCTATATCTGTAGTTACGGCATTCATTTTCACCTCCTAGGAATAATTTATTTTAGCTGCTAATTGAACTACAAGAAGTGGCATGTTAATAACTATGTGTTACCTATAGCTTTGTTGAACTTGCCTAATAGAGTGATGAGCCTTATAATAACATATAAGGTCCAGATTATGGAAGTTAACATGGAAATTTTTTGCTTAATTAGCTACACTCCTTTTGCAAATGGCCCCGATGATACCCCAGAGGAGATTTTGGCCAGAATAGGCAGTGGGAAGTTCTCTCTCAGCGGTGGTTATTGGAATACAGTTTCAGAAACAGCTAAGGCAAGTGTATTCATTTTGTTCTTTGGGGGACGAGAAATGGGTTTAATGTAACATGTTGCTTATGTTCCAAATATCCTATCTTACATAATTTGGTAAATTTTATCCAGAGTTATTTTAAAATACTGACCTGATCATTTTTATGCCTAAAAGATAATTTCCTAATTATTATCCCTTCATGATTCAGTGGATAGTAACTAGGAAATCAGTAGAGAGAAAAATGTTATATATGTAACGTACTACCTTTTATATGTATGCACACGCATATATATATATATAAAATATATATATTGCACTACTAAAATTTTCAACTTTAAGTAGTTTTAAAGCTAATGTTAACAAGAACTTAAGGGCTTTTATTATTTGAGCTGATTCCTTATATATTATTAACAGGACCTTGTTTCAAAAATGCTTCATGTTGACCCACATCAAAGACTGACTGCAGCCCAAGTGCTTAGTCACACCTGGATAGTTCACTGTGACCAGTTGCCTCAATACCAGCTGAACAGGCAGGATGCTCCCCACTTGGTAAAGGTGGGTAGATTTCTTTTTTCAGCTTGTTGTTTAGCCAAAATTAGTTTAAACAGATGTACAGAAAGCAGTTTCTGTAGGATGTGTTTCCTCTAAGTGTTATTTAAAAGTTATGACGGGGAGTCATTAAGCCATGAAGTGTACTTGTTATCTATAATAGGATTTCATATGAACCCTTTTGTGGGAAAAACATCTAATACACTTGAAAAAGACTTTGATTTTCTTAGTTTTGAAAGCTGTTGGACATAGTTAAACTGAGAGGCTTGATTTTCTAAGAAACCAGGATAAAATAAAACATGTTTCTGACAGTGGAAATGTCAGAAGTGTCAAGTGCCTATGGGGAGGAGAAACTTCAGCTTAGCTATTTTTACAGTTTTAGCGACAGGTTAATTAGGTGTCAGTGACTAAATGAAAATAGAGTGCTTCATGATCACAGTGGAAGCTGGAAAGAAGTAGAAGAGGCAATATTAATTAATATGGTGTTGTAATGTTCTGCACTTCACACAATCTGGTTTTGACTCCAACATACTTTTTCACTTTGAGCAAGCACAGAAATCAAAAATAGTTGGATTCTTCTCCTTTGTTGCCTACTAAAGGCCTCTCAAGAGTGTAATTAAGCTGAGTCAGCTATTACAAATTTCTAGAGGCCAAAAGCACAAGAAGGAAGAAGAACAAGTTCCAATTCTACACCTTGCAATTTTCTAAGATTGTTCTTTTCTTTTTAGTTTAAGAAATATTTATATCTATCGCTGAAGAATGTGGGCAACTGTTGCATATTTCGCTGAAAACTGAAGTGGGCACGTAAATTATACTTTAGAACATTTACATGTAACACTGCAGTTGTTTGAGCAATGTATCTGTTCTGCAGATGAGAATAGCCTGGAAGTTGAAACCTGCTCAGTATCTCTGTCCTGTATTGTTGTGTGATCTCGAGTTACAATATATTGTTCTTTTCTCCTCTGGCTCTCTTGCACCAGGGTGCAATGGCAGCAACCTACTCCGCTTTGAATCGCAATCAGTCACCGGTTCTGGAGCCAGTTGGCCGTTCCACTCTTGCTCAGAGGAGAGGTATAAAAAAAATTACCTCAACAGCCCTGTGAAGTGACCTCAGCCAGATACTTGGTACCATGGCATAAGATGATAGCACAAATCATGGCGACAGGTAGCACATATCTGACAGATACCTGCAAGCACACTCTGTCCCAGCTGGTACCTATAATGCTGCTGCTCCTGCTGCTGCTACTGCTTTCATCTATTCTCGCTTTAAACTGTTGATGGCAACTTACTGATCTGACTGGAGCTGCAGGCGGTGTGATGATGAGTGGAAACACAATGAAAAATATCACGTTCACGAGCGAATAAACCAGAAGAATTGCGAACACCACCTCTGTCAAAAATACACTGAATAAAGCACTCTGCACCACATAGCATTATTTTTATAAGGAATATTTTTTGTCCCCTAAAATATTCTTTGTTACAGGTAGAGATGGACAGTTTATGTTAAGCACTTAGCTTAAACGATCTGTTTATATTAGCACTATATACTTTGTGCCATCCAACATTTTGTATGTTTTTGTAAACAGTTCATAAGCAGTACATTTCTGTGCTGTTTTCTTTAATGTATACATGCCTTGTTTTACTTAGATTTTATTAATCATTTTGACAACTAAGTCTGATTAAACAGTTCACCTGGATTAATCAGTATTGTTGGACAGCTCTAAAAGAAGCCTGACTGTTAAACAGCTATTGAATGTAATACTATGAATATGTATTTCTCCTTGCGTGTGTCTTTTCTACATTTCCATGTTTTTGAATTTGCCTGTCATGTTATGAAAATCGGAATACTGTTTGTAGTATTCAAAATTTAAACAGTGGGTCTCTCCATACTACATATACATAGATAATATAACTCAGAGGAAAAATAGTTTGCTCTATATCTTACTGTCTTTTGTCCCTTCTCTCTTCCCTTTTATGCTCTCCCGTCTAATCTCCGGACTCAGGAATCACTGCTAAATACTGTCTGATAGACGACATTTCTGTATTGTTTATTCTTATATAATCCATTGTTAATATTTTGTCTTTGTTCTGACTTTTATTGTAAACTGCAAAGGATTTGTTCAGTGAATGCTGGCATTATAGAAGAAGGGCAGTGTTGAAGATAAAGCAAAACATAATGTCCAGTAATAAGCAGAAGCTAGAAAAAAGTGTAGGTTTAAACCACATCCATTGTGACTGCCAAACTGATTGATCTGATGTTCAGTCTGTTATTGCCTGATACGCATAGTTAACAACCAAAGCAAAATGAGAGCAGAATCATTGAGATCTGTCTCAGGGTGGAGAACTGTCATTAAAACCAAACATGAAAATAGTACTGTCAAGGTCAGCTCAAAACGAGACTGTTCAGAGTCAACGTTCTTGCTTTTCCCTAGACAAGACTTGTAATGAGAATGAAAGACTCATGATCTTTATACCGGTACTGGCCTTCAGTAATCCTGGCCTCCTGATATCTTACGTAGCTAAAGGCATGTGTCTAGCCTTGAAAGATCCATTGCCCAGCTGAGATGAGGTACTGGAGTGTGTTTGAATGCAGGGAGTCTCCCATTTCACCAAGTAATTTGCTACATTAACTCACTCCAGCTAAGAAAGTGGCCAAATACCAACTTTAATATGTATGGATCTGTCTGAACAGCTGTTCGTGAACAGCAACATTTGAAAATCCAAAGATAGGGGCAAGCTAGTATTTTGTAGAAGGTGGGATTTTTTTGGATTAGGAGTATTAAATTACTCTTATTTCAGGGAAACTAGAATATTAACTGCAAGAGTTTTGTTGGAAAGGAGAATCATCTTTATGACACTGAGTTGTTCTGTATGAATGAGAAGCTTCCTTCTTTTGCAAGATTTTCCTAGCTCCTTGGGTGAGCTTTCATTCCCAAGTTTGCAATGGAGCCAGTTTTATTGCCCTTCTTGAAAATCTGATAAATGTTAATCCTCTGTAACGTTCCCCGATGCCCATCTCCTTAATTTGGCAAGAAATAGCTACTGGACTCCCCGTATTAAGTCGCAGTACTTCATCAGACCTGATGGTGGAGACTTGTTTTTACATGTACAGTCTTTATACTTTTTTTATTGTAAAGTAATAACTTTTGTAATAAGGATTCTTAAATTACTGAAACCACAACAGTTCAGAGCAACCAGAGGGAGGAAAATTCTCCCCTTACTAGATGCTCGAGCATTGAAGAAGGTCTCTTTAGCTGGACAAATGCATCTGTCCTGTCTTCAAGAAACATCTTTACTTAAAGGCAGGAAAAGGCCTGGGTTTTTTTTTTCCCCCCTTTGACAATGACTTCATTTCCAGTGAGATTTAGTAAAACCTTCTTGTCTTTCCCAAAAATAAATAAATAAATAGATAAAAAGCATCTTCAACTCTATAAATGATTGCAAGTCAGATTCAAGAAACCATTCCTTGTAGAGTTGCTTTTAAATGTATTTAGATAAAGATTGTTGTATCAAATCCACAAATAAGGTTTAAAACTAGTACTGTTGGGGTAAAAGGATTAAAAGGATGGCAATACTTGAAGTACATTCATAATGGCATTTCAGATTAGAAAGGAATTTCTCCCACATTCTGAGAGCCTGTATATATTTTTATATATAAGTGCTTGGCACAGAGCAGACTAAAATACAGGAAGCATTATGACATTTCTCTATTGGCAATGCATGCTAAAATAATTAAAAGTACTTTCGGTAGTTTAATTTTAGTCATATTTTTCAACCCTCTCTCTTACTTATCTTTAGCCAGGCAGCTGAAGTTAGTTCCTATATTTTCGTGTATCTTCATTCTCAAGTAAGCTGTTAGACTAGACTTTAAAGGTGTTGCTACTATGCCATGTACAGAGCAATAGGATGAACGCTTCAAATGCTAGTCAGAACATGGCAGTTAGCAAGTGATAATGAATGTGTTATGGTCTAGATCCACCGTATTTGATTTTCTAAACAAGGGCATAAAGGGTGGATCTATGCAGATAGTATGTTTTACAGGCTAGACTTAGTGGCTTTATACACCTTACCTCTTCTCTTGGATGTGTGTTCACAACGGTCATGTTTATTTTGTCATGCGTTTGTGGCTGCCCTTGTTAAGAAGCTATAAATAAATCCACACCACGCTTGTTGGACAAATCCCAGCAGCTTTGTGTTAGAGTGTTTGAGAACATACGACCCACTGTGTAAATTTCTGTTGCTGGACTGCATCTAGGTCTGCAAAACGTAGCAAATGACTCTAGGTCAGAGTCATGGAGGGGGGGGAAAAAGAAGAGCTGCAGATACAGCTGAATTCTCTATACAGACCATGGTTTATTTTTCAGTCTAAAATTATCATGTACTGTGTTTAACAGCAGGAGAGAACAGAGAGAGTAGTCACAATACTCATTAAATGGCATCTGTATCTAAGAAGAGCAAAGTTCTTTATTCATATCACTCTAATGCTGAACAAAACTTGGAAGGAATTTTTCAAGAGAAGGTTTTTTTTTTTTTTTTTTTGGAGAGTCAACAGCATAAGAAAAGTGATATATGAGTCTGGGGATTTTCTCTGTGTTTTGCTTTATAATGTAGTGCACCAACTAAAGCTCTGCTTTTCTATCATTGTAAAGAAAGGATGTGAGGTATGTTGGTCCTTGGCAAGCAGCAACGGTTAACAGATGAATTTTCACATATGAAAATGATGTAAATGATTAGCTTTATCTTGATACTCTTGACCTAATCAAAGGGAAGTTGTACTTACGAGGGATGTAATTATTTTGCAACCTAGTCAGGAGGGAGGGGGGGAAATTACTTAAAAAAATTTTTAAAAAGTGACAAAATCACAGATAAAATATTTTTCTACAGTTCTATACAATCATACTTTATACTAGTTTTCTCAGCATGGCATGTGAGTGAGCCTAAGGTACTGTTCCAATCGATGAGTATTGTACCTTATTGTAGACCTTTACAATGGCATCTGTTAGATGCTTGGCACTACTGTCATAGAACTGAAATGCTAGTTAAAAAAAATTACTGAATACTTTAAATGGTTGTTTTATTTGGAGTCCGATCTAGGGAATGTTCCAATCATGTTATTAATGTGTAACTAGAGCTGTTCTAGCTGTAACGATGAACAGTTCGGGAAGGGTATCGTTGCTTGTACCCCTGCCTAGCGGCAGGTTTTGTAGTCTTCAAAAGAAATTGAAATTTCTACAATGAATAAACTTTCAAACATCTTAAGTGTGTTCTGTTGGTTGATCACTTGCTCTGCCCAGGTATACAAGTGGTGGCGTGTTTGTAGCTAGCACCGAGTTACATTTGCAGCATATCAACAAGTCTGCATTTCCCACCAGAAACTCCTGTGAGGAGGTGTTTGTAGGTTAAAATACGTCACAGTGTATTTCATCAGGCTTTTTATTACTAAGGTAGTGGGGAGCTGAAGGGACAGCACTTGTACTCAATAGGTAAACCTGGTATATTGGAATGAGTAGGACTGCATAAATACAAGGAGGCTGCATTTTAATGTCACATAAAGACCCCAGCGTGCTGTGAAGTGCACCTTGCACTTAATGCTGCTGCTGAACAGCGCTAGCAATGCCCCCAAAATTCCTAGTCTGTGTTGCTCTAGTTGTGGAGGGTGGCAGGAAGTTTCATGGGTGGCTACTCAGTCTCAGCTAATTAAAATGAGAGGCACAGAACATGAGCACAGATACACGTGAACGCCATAGCTGAGTCCAGGCCTGTACCTCGTAACACTGCGTGACCCATGGCACTGCAGTTGGGACACAAAGACTCTTTTTTAGCCTTGCAATCTGGAAACGATGAGGTTTTTTGAGAGTTGTCGTATTTTACAGAGAATGACTGCAATGACGCCGCAGCCTATATCAACAATTTTCGAGTTTTTCCCTGGGGCTTGGTGCTAACCGCAGTCCCTGTGAGTCACAGACGCGGGACCCGATTTATATATATATTTTTTTTCCCCCCGGTTCCTCCGCTCCCCTCCGCGGGGCCTGGGGCCTGGGCGCGGGGCTGCCCCTCGCAACGACCGGTGGCCGCCAACGGCCGCGCCGCCTCCCGGCAGCCTCAGCGGCCGCCCGGGCAGGGCCGCCCCTCCTCCACTCTGTCCCCCGGCCAGCGCCTCCGCGCGGAGCCTCCCATTGGCCATCGCCACGCGCCTCGCGCCGGGGCCTAGCCAATGGCGCGGCGCGGCACCGCCCTCCCCGCGGTCCCGCCGTGCCGCGGGGTTACGCGCCGAGCGACGCGCA